TCTCTCTCTCTCTCTCTCTCTCTCTCTCTCTCTCTCTCTCTCTCTCTTCCCCCCCTCTTTCTTTCTCTCTGTCTCTCTCTTTCTCGTTTCCTCTCTATCACTGCGCCTTCTTCCACGCGTAATTCACGCGAACGTGGAAATGCGCGGCTTACGCGGACTGCCCACGCGGAAAGGGCGAGGAGACCAGATGATGGAAAGGATATCGGAAAGAACGAGAGGAGACGAGAGAGACATGACAAACACGAGAGAGGAGGAAGTGATAATTTAATTGCAGTTTGGTGTCGCGTAGTTTCAGGAAAGGTGTGGAAATTCAAAAATATCTGAAAATAAACGCTCGTTATGAGACTATCTTTCTTTCACTTTACACTTAATGGCTCTTAAAATTGATTAACTTGAGTGTGGACAAAACTGGAATGAATTGTTACATTCCGATACCTCTCGGATTTTATCGGTATTTTATGCAGATATGTTAAACGCGTATAATCCGTTATTTGAAGCGTTGAAAGAGAAGACCGCGTTCCAGGAAATTGTTACTTCCTCGATTACTATGCGAAAGACAACATTAGTGTCACGTAGCATTCGCTCGTTTTCCGGAATACGGAGGGAGATCCCCTCGATCACTTATACAAATTAACATTTTTCTGCTCCGGTCATGAATGAGTTAGCGGTTGAAATCGAACAACGATTTGCCGACGCGCAAATGAGCTGTTTGTACCTTGAGAATGATGTATGTCACATTTTCGAGAGCTTATTTAAATAGACACGCGACTTATCGACTCGTTCTCGCGTCATGTATGCGATATATCAGCTTTAACTCATTCGCAGTTATATATAGGAGGATGGAAAAAAAATTTCTTTGAAAATTTGAGATTTTTCCTTTAAGTGTCTGCACAGAGATCTTCGTACGAATAAGAGCGTATATAAGATAAAATTATTAATATTCTTCCGAACACGTGTCTAATTACGTGGATATACTTATTGTGTTGATCTTTAAATAATATAAATATTGAAACTTTCAATATAGAATATATATATATATATATATATATATATATATATATATATATATATATATATATATATATATATATATATATATATATACGGTACTTTTATCTTATTCAGTTACAGGAAGATTGCGATGCTTTTCTCGATGAATTGTGGAACAGGTGAGAGTCGCATGATCGACCTTGTAACTTTTTCTCGTCCTATTCCGGAATTCATCGGAGAGATAAAATGTTGAAATCTTCTTGTGACCTAGTATATAATATTTTAAGTGTCGTCTACAATGTGTGGTCGCAGTTACGTCATAAAGTCATAATACTAATCTGTAAAAATTGATCATGTACCTATCTGCTTCGTGTAAATACTAGAGGAATGAAAAGCTTCTATCTAGCTCTTTAATAAAATCATTCATTTTTCACGAATATAAGACGTAACTGCGACCGTACTGTAGACGACCCTTTAGCCAGCAGATAGTCAATGCTTAGGGTCAGGTTACTTTCGAACATTTGCGCCACATGTTTGAGCATTATTAACGCAAAATATATCGTCCAATGTGTTGCTGACTCATAAAGCAGCTCGTGTGTTAAGGGAACCC